ATTAACATCAAAACATGAAATATCTAAAGCACATTTTATCCATAAAAATAATCGAGAGGGCAGAGAGTAACACTTGAATTTGGGTCCGTTTATTTAAATAACTTGATTAAAATTTTATTAAACAAGTTCTTATGTGATAAGTACTTAAAATTAAATAAATCATTGTATTTAAATATTCATGTTTACAATCACTTATACTATTTTAAAGTGTTTAAATATATTATTTAAGAACTAATAAAATGTTGTCTTATTCTAAAAGTATTAAAAAGTTATCTTGACTAAAAATAAAATGAAATTTAAAAAAAAAACTAAAGAACTTTTTTAAAATGATATTCTATATCACAATAATGTTAAAAAAAAATGATAACCATTCGCTTGATTTTAATTTATAAAAAATAATATTAATTATAAAATGCGATAAATCAATTATACATATAACTATGATGTAACAAAAATTTTAAAAAGAGAAAATGTGATGATTATGAGAAGACTTTGAATATTAGAATTTTGATTTTTGTAATAAAAACTATATGTTTCATACCTTTGACACAAAAATTTTCAATAAAGCATATGTGCTGCTTTTTAGAAAGAAAAAGAGAAGTTATGTGATGCTTTTATAATAAAAGAATGTGAATTTTAGAAGAAATATAAAGAAAATTTTTTGGAAGTAAATAAGGAGGAACAAAAAATTTTGAGAGAAAAATAAAAATGTCTAGAGTGAGTGATGAAAAAAGAATATAAAACTAGTTTTTAATAAAATAATAAAAAAAATATTTATTTTGATAACAGTTGAATATCGATATTTTTCAAAAATTCTTACATAAATTAAATAATAAGATATATAGAATAACTTATCAAAAAATAAGCTTAAACATCTCATAAATTGCCCATAAGATATTTTATAATTTTTTTCAAACACTCACATAAATACTTACAAAATAAAATAAATTCATATAGATTATTCATAAATTCTTTCAAAGAAGACCGACCTTAGTATTCATCTTTAAGATATTAGAATCGGTGGTACAGGGTGAAATAAACAATAAAAACAATTATTCTATTATTTAACTTGTAAATTACATGAAACGTAACGAAAAAACCGATCATAATTCATTCTATTTTATTATTTAACCTCAATAGTTTTTCCTTCAATTTAGACTGCGCTTAACAGAACAAAATTATAAAATAATTATTTTATTTTTGTAAATTTTACTCTAATCATAAACCTCTTAAAGGTTATATTTGAATAAAAATAATGTAAAATTTAGGAAGTTATTATGTTGTATTTTTTTTTTCAATATACTTCATTTTATTGTAAAATATCCAAAATAATGGAATCCCACTTTATTATATTTCATTCTCATTCATCTCATTATATTTCAATCCTTTAATCTGAACTTTTAAGTTTTCAATAAACTAAGAGATTAAGTATGTATTACTTCCATACAATCAATTAAAAAAAATAAAAAAATGAATCAAATATAATACCAAAACGTAATGCTTGTTTAGTACATTATTTATGTTTAAACTATTCATGACTTTTCCCTTCTGATATTCACTTTCTCTCATAAAGAGAAAGTGTAAAAGAACATAAAATTAAAAAAAATTAAAAAAAAAAGATAAAAGATAAAAGAGCTGGCAAAATTCTTGTTCTAGCTCTTAGACCTGAACAAACCGAGACCCAAAACTTTCTTCATCTTCCTGAAGATACCAGAGTTCCTCCTTTGGTGCCCTGATGGGGCTTGCTCTCCTGCCAATAATTGATTCTTCATGTTAGTTACAAATACTAATTGATTCTTCATGTTAGAAAAATTGGATAAAAGTTCATGGACTAAAAAAATATATATAATCCATGATTCTATATCTTGCCAATACAATTGTTCTCTAATAGAGTATTAGGTAGCATTGCTTTATTTGTATGTTTTGTATTCTTTTGTAAGCTGAGTGGTTTTGTCACGTCAGCATATTAGTTTTGAGTGTGCCTTCCTTTGTAAGTTTGGTTTGTCTATATAATTCACTAAAGTGTCATT